TGAGGAACATCAAGAACGTCCAATAGATGGGCATAGCACCGGAGTAGCATATTCAGCGAATCTTGTTTCGGACTCCCTTGAAGACGATGGTGACCCCTATTCTGACCGTTCATTAGGCCACTCTACTRGTGAGGYCGATCAAGCACATTTGGAAGGTGAAACTGAAAGACCTGTAAAACAGATGGACGACGATATTRRAGAAACTGCTAGCGAGAACGTTGGTATGTCCATTGAAACGGATACGGATGCTAGGGAGGATACTTTTGCTGAAGAATCTGTACGTTTCGACAAGGGGGAACAAGAACAGGAAAAYGACAAAGACAATTTGAACTTGGAAGCAGGCAGAGCGACAGAAGAAGTTCAAGGTGCACATTCTGCAGAAGTAGAAACAAAGTCTGATACAGTTGAGGTGCCRGAGTCTATTCTTCAATATTTATTTAGTTGGGCAAAAGTCCAAAAACCGAGCACAAAGGCAGAATTGGATGAAGGTGCTGTTCAAAATGTCACTGCGGGCATTTCAAGAGATGGAAGTGTTTTCTCTAGTGAGGAAGATCGAGGAGCTAATAGACTCGAAGAGGAAATAGACACAGAATATGCTGTTGAGGGTACCCATCCAGATCAKAGTGGCTYCTCTTTTGAACCAGGGCAAGAAATGGGCTACCAGCATTCAGCACATCTAGATGCAAGTACCCATCTGGATGAAAATGGCTCCTCTTATAAAGTAGATSAGAAACTTACAATGGATGTAGAAGAATCAGCATATCTCGAAGAGTTTAGCCTTACAGATGAAGATGGTCCTGTCAAGGTAGATCAAGAATTGCTCACGGATGAACAGCAAACCATCGAAGAACATCGAGAATATTCTTATACAGATATTMATGCAAGAGAAAGCAGTTCTTTCCATGGAGGACAACAAGAACATGTAATGATTTTAGAAGAAACGATCGAACAGTACTCAGCACTTGGTGAAGAGAGTGTCCATCCGGATGAAGGTGGCATTTCTGGTGACAAACATCAAGATCGTGCAATGGATGGTGAGGGAACCGGAGTAGCATATTCAACATATGTTGTTACGGATTCCATTGAAGACGATGATRACCCCTCTTCTGGGYATTTATTAGGCAGCTCTACTGATGAGGCCGATCAGGCACATTTKCAAGGTGAAATGGAAARAACATCAAAACAGATGGACGCTACTGGAGAATGTGCTTGCGAGAATGTTGGTATCTCCATTGAGGCAGACCAGGAAACTTTGATGAATGAATTTGAACTGCACCAGGAACATTCAGTATACACTAGTGAGGATACTCGTGCTGAAGAATCGATACATTTAGACGATGGGGGTCGAGAACAGGGAACAAGCAAAGACAATTTGGACTTAGACTCAAGCACAACAACAGAAGAAGTTGAAGGTGCACATTCTGCCGAAAAAGRCACAAAGACTGATACAATAGAGGTGCCAAAGTCTATTCTTCATTATTTGTTTGGCTGGGCCAAAGTCCAGACACCGAGCACAAAGACAGAATTGGATCAAGGTGATGTTGAAAGTGTCAGTGAGGACACTACAGATGGAGAAATTTCCTCTGCGGAACGAGATCAAGATGGAGGTGACCATGAAGAGGTCAAGCATTGTTCATCCTATGCTGGCGAGGTTACRTGTCCTGATGAAAGTGGCTCCTCTCATGAACTAGAACAAGGAACTCCGATAGCTGGTGAAGAAACGACTGACCTACAATCAGCACATATTGATGCGAGTRTCTATCCAAATGAATGTGACTCCTCTTATGAAGGATCCCAAAATCTTTTAATGKYYGAAGAAGAAACAGCTGACCAGTATTCAGCACGTTTTGGTGAGAGTACCCATTCAGACGAAAGGTCTTGTGAGGAACACCAGGAGCTAATTTATGAAGGAGAATCGAGTGAAGAAATTCCAAAGTATATCTGTGAATCCAAAGMRGAAGATCTGACAACAGGCCAACAACTCTTGATGCATGATCACCAGCTGCAGGRAGGAGATGAAGCACAACATGAAAGCGATGGAAGATTTGACGAAGACTCTGTTTGCGACGCTARTGACTATTCTGAGGATAATTCAAAGATCCCAGAGAATAAAACTTCTGAAGAGAGGGGTGATGATAATAATACATAATGCGAGTTRTCGTCGAYTAGGACTGACTTAAWCTTTAAGGCCGAAAGTACATGCAGATTAATTAGTCTGATAATTGTTTGTTGATTGTACATATCGTAGTAATGCCATATAATAACTAAATTGGTTGTCACAGAATTAGATTGTTTTTTTCTAGTGATTTCGGTTAATGTAAAACCCGTCCAAGTAAGAGATATAATTCATTCTACGAGTCGCWATATTGCTTTTCATATATTTTCGGAATACGGACAAACAACACTTAAAATGTGAAACAGGCGGTGGAGCAAGGGTTAGTATATGAATGCTTTCATATACACAACAATAGGATTGTAAAGCACTGGCCACGCCACAGAGATTTTTGTGGCATTCTCTTAGTAGTGTTTTCAAACACTAAAAKTTTAAAAGCTTTTTTGTTATTTGTTCCGTGTCTTCTATCGTGGGCCCTTCACTGGCCGACGAGGCCGATTCTTGAGGCGCAAACAAGGGAAAAAGTGCAAGCGTCTTTGAGTTTCCAATGCTTTCCTTCGCTCTTTAGGGTCCCTGACTAGCTCCTGTCGCTGAAATCGACAAACGTAATACAAATACTGACGTAAATGATGTAAATTATGTTGAATGATTTTGTTTAATTGCGTTGAACCATCTAGCGCTAATTAACACCAAAAACAGTGCTTACTTTAAGTACTCGCTTTCGATTCGATTCACTTGATCACGCACAAATTAAAAATGTGCCAAAAAAGGGAAACACTGTTGACAGAACCTCAATAATGTATTTGGCTCTGTTATGTTGACAGATTTGTGCCTACCATCCGCTCATTATCAAAATGTCTTGACTGCCCATTTCCAGGATATTGCTCAGCATTATCAGTTTCAAAAATCAGTACCGAAGAAGGATACATCGCGTAATACATCGTGCAATAGAAAATTGTTCGGATCCACCGTCCTTTAGGCCTGGTTTATGTCATGCTATCATCTTGCTGAATCATTTTTTTTTTTATTTGAGCACATGAACAGCTGGACGTATGAATCAGTTGAGTTCGGCGCGACAACGTCACGGCATTGTCGAGCTATCGTCTTGCCGAACTTTTAAAATGCACAAACATACATTTCTTATGCTTTGGATCGATNTGGCATTCTCTTAGTAGTGTTTTCAAACACTAAAATTTTAAAAGCTTTTTTGTTATTTGTTCCGTGTCTTCTATCGTGGGCCCTTCACTGGCCGACGAGGCCGATTCTTGAGGCGCAAACAAGGGAAAAAGTGCAAGCGTCTCCGAGTTTCCAATGCTTTCCTTCGCTCTTTAGCGTCCCTGACTAGCTCCTGTCGCTGAAATCGACAAACGTAATACAAATACTGACGTAAATGATGTAAATTATGTTGAATGATTTTGTTTAATTGCGTTGAACCATCTAGCGCTAAATAACACCAAAAACAGTGCTTACTTTAAGTACTCGCTTTCGATTCGATTCACTTGATCACGCACAAATTAAAAATGTGCCAAAAAAGGGAAACACTGTTGACAGAACCTCAATAATGTATTTGGCTCTGTTATGTTGACAGATTTGTGCCTACCATCCGCTCATTATCAAAATGTCTTGACTGCCCATTTCCAGGATATTGCTCAGCATTATCAGTTTCAAAAATCAGTACCGAAGAAGGATACATCGCGTAATACATCGTGCAATAGAAAATTGTTCGGATCCACCGTCCTTTAGGCCTGGTTTATGTCATGCTATCATCTTGCTGAATCATTTTTTTTTTTATTTGAGCACATGAACAGCTGGACGTATGAATCAGTTGAGTTCGGCGCGACAACGTCACGGCATTGTCGAGCTATCGTCTTGCCGAACTTTTAAAATGCACAAACATACATTTCKTATKCTTTGGATCGATTATGAATGGCAAAATGTATTTGRRTCGACACAAATTTGTYTCGGCACGCCGGTWGCAAGACGTGTGAACCSAGCCAGAAAGGCTTTTTGAAATGGTSGTTTTCTTCATTCAACCGAGTGGAAATCGAAACGATTTCTACAGTTTTAATTGAAAATTTTGTATTTGGCAGYTCGAACAATCATGAYCAACRTTGTATATTCATGACAGTACATTCAGAATGAMGTCTCAAAATGGGTTTACACATTTCTATGCGATTGTCTTCTCAAATGCAAATTATTATTCTTTTTGTTTATGTATATATTCAAGAAATATGTATTTTGATCTGGCTAGAATATCATTTTCTTTGTATAAGGGTATTTCATTCGTTTATGTGACCGCTCAGTTGGAATATTTCCTTTATTCCTTTGTTTAAGGCCTTAACCGGTTTGTTCTATCTTCCTCAAGAGTTAGAAAAACGCATTTTTGGGCTGTTGAGACTCTTGGGACAAATAGATGGACGCCGGGCATAAGAGTTGCCCACTAAGGCCTTACTTTTTTTAATTAAGAATTGCTTTTGATGATATTAAGGTCATTAAGGGCAGTTTTCATAACCTCTCAGAGTTTTCGCACGATTTTATTAATACAAACCACCTCAAACCACAATATTGTAACGTGTATTTTCGTTTAAAACCAAATACTAGCCTTAAATTCCACTCTGCCTACTCGTTGCACATTTATATCGCCATTCTCCATGGAATTGAGAATTTTGAAATACACCAATGCAAAACCATTAATTTTGAATGAGAGAACAGGATGTGTTTGATCTAATATATTATATTGAACAAACACCCATCCCTAAATTATCGCGTTCGACCTTTGATGTATACACAGTACAGTTGTGCCTAGCAGATCAGAATCGAAAAAGACTTGGTCAACTATTGGTAAGGTACTTCGGTGATAGGTATTATTCGTATTAATTGTACATATACGTCATCCAAAATCACCTATGTGTCTCTCGAACTAATTTCCTATGGCTAGATGTTTTTGTTGCAATTGGAGTCTTTAGTGGTATTGAAACAGTTCAATTAATGGTTTAGGATCCGTCTTCCTGATTAAGGAAAGAGAATCAGTTTTCYAACCATGAAAACAAAATTGACATTTGAAKATATTGTGCGAGCTGTTAYTGGTTTGCTTTGGGCTCTTCTMTTTCAAACAACTTCCAAAGCTGCAAAATGTCACGTATCGATTAGCGGGATTGCTCTTCGTGGTCAAACCGTGTCCTCTCTATCCGCCGTGGAYATTCTTGTCTGCTYCACGAATTGCGAGAAAACGCCAGGCTGTCGAAGTGTAAACTACTACCTGAGGCGATCGCTTTGCGAGCTAAACAACGGGACCATTGAAAAGTATCCTTTTATGAAAGTCCAGGATGGGGATTCAACATACTTCCAGATACTTAAACCACGTAAGTATATTATTATTTATTAGTTATTTTAGTTGTGTACCATTGACTTTGGAAACTCCGTTAATAAAGTGACTAGTGCAGGAGCAATAGAATTGTTAGGTAATCGATATATTTCAGATAGAATCAAATCCATCTACTTGATTGTGCACTATAAAGTAAAATTCTTTCGACTGTGAAACAAAAATGGCCACCTATTGCTAATTATAATTCAACAGCCAAGTTTCCTCCGCTCTCTTATTTATTACAGTTCAAAATTTCCTCGGCTTTCATTCAGGCCCGCCGCGGAAGAAGGGTGCTACAACTGCATAGAGCCCGTCGTTTCAAAACATGTTTAATAATAAGAAAAGAGCAGATTAAATCTCGTGCATTATTGCTGTGATAGTTAACATTGGAATACTGGTCGTTCTTCATATGTTCGATTCTTAGCCATTGTTTTTCAGAACAACCAGTTTCAAAAGGATAACAGCATAATGCCCTTGGTTCGGCTATTATTTYAAGTAGTCGATTCGGAATGCATTCGACATTTATGAAATGTCTTTTACAAGAATACACGTTGTCGGGGCGAACGGCGATTGTCGAAGGAAGATTTTTGATAAGAAATGCCGAGACGAAATAGAGCCAACGTTTACCACAGTTATTTTTCATCAATTAGCAAAAACCATAGCACTAGACGATCGACGATTCACATTCGCTATTTTATCTGACAACCTTTTTTGAAAGGTTGAAGGTATATACTAGTTGCATGAATGTTAATAATCTTTTCGATGGCTACTGATTTGGAACCATTATTACGATGCACTTCGAGCTTTCAATACATCAGAGACATTTCGCCGTTAGTTTTCTTATTCATTTTAAATTGTCTAAAAATATAGATTATCTTCCTGCAATTTAGTTCTATGTATCTTCTGTTGTCAGATCTCGTAAATTTTGTTTAACCARCACAAACGAAAAATGAGATAGACCTGTCTCAATGTCTAATGGCAATCTCGGAAATCCAAGGCGTTTTGAAAGGCAGTTGTGAYATATTGTTATACAATCGGCTATTTTTGCGATTTAGTGTACCTTTTTTCTTGTCTGAACCAGAAAGACTGATCAAGAATACACATTTTTATATGGTGCAATTAATTTCATGCAATTTGACATACAAATAATTCTTGTCTGAATCGGAATGACTGAACAAGACCCGTCAAGACAGATTTTGATGATACAATTATAATTTTGCGAAATTTAGTGTTTATTTAATTTCACGCAATTTAATGCAATATTTTTCTTGTCTGAATCGGAATGACAGCTTAAGACGCGTCAAGACACTTTTATGATGCAATAATAATTTTTAGCGAAAAATTTAGTGTTGAATGTTTTCTTGTCTGAATCGGAGTTACCGGTCAAGACACATGGCGCACGAGAGTCAGTCAACCTTAGAGTTATGATCTCAATGTAAAGTACGTTTTCTATGTAACAATCTAGGTTCGCGGCTATATATCTACGTATARCTAGAAATTTTAAAATGTCCTATGTTTCTAAGATTTGATCTGTCTGTGTATCAGTCCAAATATGGTCATCCTGGAGTTCTTGGGAGCCATGTGACTGTGGCATRACCACGCGTACCAGGACCTGTAAAATAGACGCATGTGAGGGGACCAGCCTGGAGAAAAAAAATTGCAATATGGGTAAGTGTAGTACTGGATGATGACTGTTTTATGATGGTAGTAAACACAATGGATGATGGGATTCATATTAAAATGACGATGGTTAATCTATAAATTATACGGTTTTATTCATATTTGCTTCAATTTTTTTAAAGGAATTTCAATTCAGTTTTTATGCCATTTATAAAGTTATCCTCTTCATAAGTTTATCTCGGATTTTATCACGCGGGTAAGAATTTTTTCTGTAGATAATCATGCTATTCACCTTTCGTGCAACCGGCCATAGATTGGAATCAAAGTCAATTCCATCAATTCCAATTATTTAGTTTCCACTACTTTTATGAAGTAAATAATCATCTATAAAATACCTATATTTCACTATATTTCTTCATTTCATAAAGTTATTATTTTCACTAGTGAAAACAACTTTCGACAGGCTTCTCTATATGTAATACATATAGTAAGAAAAAAAGCTATTTTACGACATATTAAACTTATATGTAATTATATGATAAACAGAATATTACATGATCAGTTGGAGATACGAATTTTATCTTCTCGTGCTGAAAATCTTTCCTACACTCACTCGTGGGAGATCTTTTSAACACGCGAAGATRAATCTGTATCTCCGCGCGGCCATGTAATATCCTCTATATTATTCATGCCCATTTCAGGATGCCTAATTTTGAACGCTGCTAACTATTGTTTTTACAAACATCGTGTTTCAGTGCATACAACTATCACATCAAAGGAAGGAAAGCCGTGTGCTCTTCCATTCAAATACAAAGGTGTGTGTTATAAGGCTTGTACAGACGTGGATTGGAGTGCTAAATGGTGTTCGTATCATACTGTGTACCAGGGCAGCTGGGGATACTGCCCATAAATCCACTGAACTCTAAAAAGTACATAATAAGGTTTGGATAATTTGTGGCACCAACAATCACAAAATTTGAATGCGTTGGTCAAGTCTTGCCTATCAAAGTAGGATCCTAAATGCTTTTATTAGAAAATCGAGGACTGTCTGGTTTCTGCATGGATAGTTATCGACTAAATTTGTAAATATTTGAGTAGCATCAACAATCACAAATTTTGAATGCGMTGGTCAAGTCTTGCYCATTAAAGTAGCATCGATCCTGAAWGTTTTTCTAAGAAAATCTAGGRCTCTCTGATTTMTGCATGGACAGTGATCGACTAAATTTGTAGATATTGTGAATAATAAGATCAAAGATAAGTAAAAAATAAATAAAGCAAATAATATTGTAAATAGAAGAATAAAGCCAGTTTAAACCTGTCTCATCTCAAGAAACAAAGAACGAATACATAAACACTGCGATAATACAGCTATTTGCAATAATTCTGATCCACCTACCTTAATAAACCTTAGCCTGTGTACATCCGTTTCTCACCCCTCCAAAAAAATAGGGAGGGGCGAGAAACGGATGTACACAGGCTAAATAAACCTCTGCAGCTTTTACGTCATGTACCGTATACGCAATGCATTGTAGGATATGTTTGGGACAGAACATGGCGGGTATCTTTTGTTTTCTCTAGAAACTGATCCCACAATGCATTAA